CTGCCGAGTGAACTTCCCTGCAGTCCTGTTTATATGGGTGTAGTTAGAACTGCTTTGGCGATGGTGGCCCCCCTCTCTTGGGGTGGAGTCTCTGCTGTGGCGGGTTACCTTGGCAATGGTGGGCTGCCTCAGCAATGGCGGGTTGCCTTGGTAACGGCGGGCTGCCTCGATAATGGCGGATGTCCCTCCCCCACAGAGCTGGACCGTCCTGGGTTCAGCTGCGCTTGCTGTGAAACTCTCAATCCAGAGTTTCTCGTTGCTGTTCTTTTGTGGGGGTGGGACCAGCCGAGCCTGATCGACTGGCTCCCTGCCTCAGAGCCTTTTTTAAGTTGGTGTTCCAGTCGCCTGTTGAGTCGCCAGGGTCTGTTTGTTTTCCCCTGCGGCCACTCACTGCGCTGGCTTAAACAGCGGCACTGAGGTTTGTGGCGCTTTTTTTTGTTTTTTTTTCCCCTGGAATCTACTGTCCTGGGTCTCTGCTCAGTCCCCTTTTTGAACCGGCATATGGGCGACTTCCCGTGGCTCCAATCGCCAGCCAAAAGGGCCCCCAGACCGGTGTATTTTGTACGGAGAAGCGCGGCTCCGGGGTGCCGACAAAGCAGCCGCGTGGGGCAAAGCAGCAGCACTGGCCGAAACAGCCGTGCTGGCCGAAACAGCCGCGCTGGCGACCGTGGAGCACCTCCGCCCGGGAATTTCCTAGTCTGTGGGCAATAAAAACGCGGCGTGCACTCACCCTCTGCGCTTTCACTAGGAGCTGCAATCCTGAGCTGTTCCTAAACCGCCATCTTGGATTCTCCTGTGCATTTTTTTAAACCTGGTTTGTGCATTTTTTTAAACCTGGTTTTCTTTTTTTTTTAGAGACAGGGTTTCACCATATTGGTCAGACTGGTCTTGAACTCCTGACCTCAGGTGATCCACCCACCTCTGCCTCCGAAAATGCTGGATTTACAGGCATGAGCCACGGCGCCTGGACAAACCCAGTTTTCTTAATAATCTTATCTTCCTTATAATGTGTCGTTCAGGTAGATATAGAATGAGTTGCCACTAAGTCCATTTTAATTTTAATTCTGTCTTTTTTAAAAAGGCTGGTGGCAGTGTTATGAAAAGTGTTATTGTTTTCTAAGCACACAGTGACTGAGGGCAATGGAGTGGGTTTAGAGATGTCCAGGCAGGTAGCTATCCGAGGATAAATTCTGCTGGGAACTCTCGACCAGCAAGAGGATTCCAACCTGAGTGGGGGGTGCACAGGAAGAAGCGAGACAGAAAAGCGGGGTCAGGAGGTCTGGGGAGTGAGTGCTCCACCAGCAAGTTTATTTCTTAAGGCTCAGAATATAAACATTTTTAGGGTCTGATTGACGTCATGGTAAGGAGAAAAACAAGTAGCCAAATCATCAATTTTATACAATAAATTGACAGCTAAGCAATGAGTGGTTATAGAAGATAATAATACCTTTGGTGCTCATAAACAAGTTTTTGTAGAAAGAGACATTGTTCCTCATGAGTGCAGGCCATCTGGTTTCACTCATCTGGTTATCTTTTAACAGGATTCTCCTTTTTCTGTTCCTGACTCAACTTTATCTCATCTTCCCTCTATCAGGCATCTCTGTGTCTCAGCTCGACCACCCGTCTTGTGAAACTCACTTTGCAGGCATTCACACGGCTGAGTTCCCCACAGGTCCACCTTTTTTATTTTTTAGCTGCAACTCAAAAACTTAAGCTGCAACTGTCGGAGGGAGGAGAACAGGAATCGAAGGATAACAGACAAAAGGAGAATCAGGAGGAGGACTAACACTCCTAAGCCAATTAGAGATGAATAAGACGGTATTTTAGACAACTGCAGCCAGGAGGACAATGTATTCACAGTATCTTTGGCTATAGTAGCATCTACAGGGAGCTGTTCTCTGGAAACATCAATTGCATGTATTTGTTTCTGTAATTTTCTTATATCTAGAGACAAATTATTATGTGACCATATCCCTTGCAAATGGGCCTTAACTAACGGCCATTGCCATTCAGAAGCATTATATTCCTTATTGGTAACACAAATAAAAGTAAATTCGGCATGGCACCGAATTGCAAGACGATTTTGAATATTGTACACTTTATCTCCAAGAAGAGTAACTGTTTCTTCCAAAGCATTTAACTTTGCTTCTAATTTCTTATCTATAGCCATCTGAGTTCCTAAAGATGTAGAGATATTCTTTGCTAAATGGTTAACATAAGCAGCAGTTTGTATATTATAAGCTAGACTGACTGTAGCAGTGGCAGCAGTAACAACAACAGTAACAATTGCAATAATACTAGCAATAAGCAATCCTAAAAACCTTTTTGGACACATCATTAAATCCCTAACCTGTTCTAAAACTCATAATCCTCTATCATCATACCAAGGCCCAGAGATATTAACAGGAAGCATAATATAAGAAGGTTGATGTACAATCATAATAACTGGAGTTGGAAAAACAGTTGAGTCAATACAATTAGTAAGAACACAATTAGGACAAATTATGTCCACTTATTTCATTAATAGAAATGTCCCCATACAGAACAGCATAAGGGGAGGCTACACAAGCTTGTACAAAAATAGTTTGTAGTTGAGGAGTGTAATTGCTTCTAATACCAGGTTTCATGCCACTAGGATATAAAGCCAAAAACAATCTCCATACAGAGGAATGAATTTGGCCAGAGGGAGTTGTTAAAAGAGGAGTAATCCACCCCCCAGGGCTTTCATAACGATCTAATCTTGAAGAATAGGGAACAGCAACAGACCAATCGTGCAAAACAAGACCCATTGGCAAAGTATATGTTACAACTTGTCCCTGATAACATCGCCTCCAAGGAGGAATTTCAGCAAAAGAGTGTGTAAATAAAACACATGAGGGGTTTTTTGGAAGACTAGAATATTGTATTTTCAGACTCCCTTGATTCCTAAATAAGATATTCCCCAATCACGATTGGCATAAGTTTCTTCTCTTGGTCTAAGATCAGACTCCCCCTCATATGTCCATTGTTGTCTATATCCCAAATCCAAACAATTTGGTCCTGAATTAGAGTGCTGGTTTAAGTGAGTTCTCAGTACTGTGCCTCCCCAGATGTGGGAAGCATAAAAACACATGGGAAGAGCAGCAGCTTGAGCAGTAAATGCACATACCGCCTTTTGAGGTGTTGTATGTGATGATGAAGGGAGCCCAAAAACAGAAGTGTCATTTAAGTATACAGTAACCACTGGGTCATCCCAAGTAACAGGATGCAGCACAGGGGGATCTGGTACATAAGCCCACAAAGTTTGTTCTTCCACCCTTCCCCCTTGAACCTGACAAGACATGATAGCCAGCATGGCTATAAACAGTACAGCTGGAGTTTTCAATATCTCCTGTGAGTTCACAAGTGATTCTGCTTCAGTGCAAAGTCGTTTCAGTTGACCCCAAGTTGGTACAGGAAGACACTGTGTGTTCTGTGCCTGGTGACACTTCCTTTGGCGGTGTCAGAGAGGTGGAGGTAGTGGTATTAGACACAGCCGCCTGAAGCTCGGGATCAAGGTTCCAGGTTTTCCCATCGACAGGAGGTCCATGTTTCACCAACTGCTCCAGTACCCACAACGGGCTTTCAGCAGATCTAGGGAAAACACAAACATGTCCTCGTCCCCATATGAAGACTGGATCAGGCCCATTCCATTTGTTAGTTAAGACATCCTTCCAGAGCACCTCAGCTTGTGCTCTGGGACTAGGGTGCCAAAAGCGCTCAGCAGCAGAGTGTCCTTCTGCATCAAACGTCAAAAAATTTAAAACATAAAGAGGATGCTTGAGCCAAGTATGAGGAGTCTTATGTAGATCAGCTCCTGACTCCCCCTTTTTTATTTTTTGCAAAGTTATTTTTAAAATTGCATGAGCATGTTCAACAATTCCTTGTCACTGTGGATTGTAAGGTATACCTGTACGATGTTGAATATGAAACTGAGAATAAAAATGATTAAAGCCTTTGCTGGTGTAAGCAGGAGCATTATCAGTTTTAAGAATTTTTGGGGGGCCCAGAATAGAAAAGACCAATAAGCAATGGGCTATTAACATCCTTAACAGCTTCTCCGGTATGAGCAGATGCCACTAAAAAATGAGAAAAAGTTTCAATGGTTACATGTATATATTGAAATTTACCAAAAGGTGCAAAATGAGTAACATCCATTTGATATACATGGCTACTTTGTAGTCCTCAAGGATTAACTCCATAATGAAAAGGAACTGGCAAGTGGGGAAGACATGCAAAGCATTGTTTAACAACCTGTCGAGCCTGTTCTCGAGTAATTTTAAATTGTAAATGAAGACTGTGAGCATTTTGGTGATGCAGAGCATGAGACGCTTGTGCCTGTTGGAGGGGAGTTAAAATTGGAAAAACAGATTGAGTAAGAAGATCAGCCTGTTGATTTCCTTCACTAAGAGGTCCTGGCAGGTTAGAATGAGCCCGAATGTGACCTATAAAAATAGGGTGAGAACGCTGTCGAAGAGATTCCTGCAAAGGAATTAAAATGTGAATGATAGAGGAGGAATCAGTAGAACACAAGGGGGCAGTCTCCAGGTTTTGAACAAGTTGAACAATATATTGGCTATCAGAATAAATGTTAAGGGGAACATCCCAGTGAGATAAAACAAATTGCACTGCAAGGAGTTCAACTCGTTGGGCTGAGGTTTCCTGAGTCTGAAAAGAAAAGGGTTGTTTATTAACAGTGCCAGCAGCAATACCGGATGAAGATCGGTCCATGAATGCCAGTTGTGCCTGTGTCAAAGGCGTTTTAACACATTTTTGAGGAAAAATAAGAGAATCGAGAGTATAAAATTGTAAACTTTTATCAGCTGGAAGATGACAGCTAATGTTTCCCGGAAATCCAGCAAAAGCAATTTGCCAAGTTTCTGAAAATTGCCAAAGCCAAGTTTGTTGAGGGCCTGTATAGGGAACTACAATTTCTGGAGGCTCGTATCCAAACAAAGCAAGGGCACGAGTCCTGCCTTTAGCAACCAAGGCAGCAACCAAGTCATAATAAGGAGTGACTACTTTTCCACAACTGGCAGAAAGGTGTAACCATTCTAATATTCCTTGTTGCCAGAAAACACCTGTAGGCGTGTACTGTGTATGTAACACACAAAAGCCCCAGGGTGCCTTGTCCTGTATTCTATTTAATTTTTGTTCTGCCAAGGCTCTTTGGACAATCCGGAGTGTTCGTATAGCTCCAGGAGTAAGCTGGTGTGGTGAATTAGGGTTAGAAGTTCCTTTTAAAATGTCAAATAAGGTATTGGGGTGGATCCAAGATGGCCGTTTAGGAACAGCTCAGGATTGCAGCTCCCAGTGAAAGGGCAGAGGGTGAGTGGACGCCGTGTTTTTATTGCCCACAGACTAGGAAATTCCCGGGCAGAGGTGCTCCACGGTCACCAGCGC